ATGCCATAAAAACCTGCCATAACCCTACTAAATTCCGCACTCTACACTCGAGTGCCAAATTTTTCAATGGATCACAAAACTACGTGCTGTCGTGCAGCGCATCTGTAAGATTTGGCGATGTGCATGGCACAAAGCAAATAAATATATCTATCTGCGTTCTGATATGCATGGTTTAAACGATCACTTGAGCTCTAGCTGCGACAATGTGCTAATTCTTAATCAGCGTGCGTTGCATGCTCTCATTATGCCATAAAAACCTGCCATAACCCTACTAAATTCCGCACTCTACACTCGAGTGCCAATTTTTTTCAATGGATCACAAAGCTACATGCTGTCGTGCAGCGCATTTGTAAGATTTGGCGATGTGCATGGCACAATGCAAATAAATATATCTATCTGCGTTCTGATATGCATGGTTTAAAGGATCATTGTTTTGGATGAAGGGATAATTTAATTCAAGGTGTACACCAATGGTTTAAAGGATCATTGTTTTGGATGAAGAGATTATTTAAATCAAGGTAACATGAACTTTTCGTCCTGATCAATAAAACTGGATAGTGGGTAATGTATGGAAGACTTCCATGGCTTGCAATGTCCAAAAAAATCTCTCCAACTGCTCGCGCTGCAGCGTCTCGGAAGCTTTTTCCTCACTGTGAAAGGGGCACACCATATTTGTAAGAGCAACATTCTAAGTGGTGTGAATCTGTTCATACCGACCGATTCAAACCTTGATCGCGCATGCCAATGCCAACGCATTAACTAGATGCCACAAATTTTCACCCCAACCCAAATAGAACACATGGTCAGTATCCACGGAAGCAGATCTCACAACGTTCGACCTGGTACAAGCTGTAGCCTCATTTTTCTATCACGACACATCGTGTTGTTAGATGAGAGACCGGTATCGAAAAAGTACCTCAGGATCTTAAAAGACTGCGAGGCAGCCAGGAACTCACTCCCATACCCAGCTTGCTCGTTGGAGATCCATTGCATCCGGCGCGCTCATTGGGCCTATATATCCCACACTTTAATTGACCCTTCCCGATATAAGGTTGTGTCCCATATAAACTGCGGTAAAATTGCTTCCTCACAAGAGATTGGATGTACGCGGAAGGTCTCGATGCGGTCCGCATCTATGATGAACCCCTCCATGAAAACAGTAGTTGCTACCGATTTCGGAAAAGAATCGGCTGACGTCCTGGCTATGAGAGCTCTTGCTTCTTAGGCACAGCCCACCTTTTCTTACGTAGACATAAAGTTGAGGGACCGCATGTTAGTTCTGTTCTCGTGTACTGCATCTAGCTTAAGAATCGCAGCACGATACGCAATTGCTCGGTCTGAGTATGGTCGCCGCGTCCATCGTTATCGTGTCCAGCGGAGCACATTTTCTCCATGTTTACTCTCCAAGTACTTCATGCTAACAGATGTGGCCTTGCACATTGAAGCTTTGTAGAAAGCTATGGGACCTTCACCAATGCTCGATTTTGAGCACAATCTCGTAGCTGGTGGAAAGGTACCTCCTTACGAGTGGGCCCTGGGCCGCCAGTTATTTTATTTTATCCCTTAAGCTGAACTTAACAGACAGCATGTCTTGATGATATAGGGTGAGATAGGCAAGAATGTTATGGTTTTTCATCACAGAGGATATATATCTCTGAGGACCTTGTGGTCGAGATGACGTCAAACGTTACTGAGTGTTACAGATTGCCAGGATACCTTGCACACAAATAGTGTTTCAACTCGTAGGGCCTGTGTTGATAAAGCACATCAGATGTGATTATTGTTCGTGGTTTGGACGAAAAAAATATAACTTACAAAAAAGGATTACAAAATATGCGTTATCATTCATATTATGATAACTGCGTTGCGTGAGGCTAGCAGGTAGTCTCTGATATGGCTGTAAACCACCAAGCTTGGGCACTTTGGCTAGACCTCCACAAGGTACAAGTTCATAATCGCAGATGTATTTCTTACTTGACCTCAGACGGCATTCCAACAGCTCGTACACCATTTAATAAGCCGCCTCATAGTTTGCCTTAACAATCATGTAATCGTCTTGACCCATGCAGCTTGACGGTGTAGTTACAACCTGATAATATAGCGTGTTGTAGTGGAGACGACCTGGTTATTTTTGGCTCGAGACATCGTCATTGATTTCTTAAGTAGTTTGTCGCGAAGCTCTCTGTATGACCAATGTATAAAATAGGCGCAATAACTGCAGCGGGGCTGCCGTAGCTTTGCGCTTTGAGAAAGCGTAAGTTAT